TGTTGAATCGACAAACAGGTCCGTACATGTCTTCAATAAAAGCTTAATTGAACCCCGGGTAAATTTCGAATATATCGGTAATACTGGATAAACTTAAGTTAAAAGCCTACTTTCACGTTTGTGGTGTGTCTTTTGTAAAATCACATGATTCTGTCCTAAATCTGTGTTAGAATGTCGTTTGTGTTTCCTTAAAAGAAGATGAACCTTGTTCTATTTCTCTTGTAATTTCTTAGTTTAACTTCTGCCTTCCGTGTAAATGAACATAAAAGACAGTTGTATTTCTATTTAAAGATACGACCCTGATGTGGTAGATACAAGACTAAAACAGGAAATGGTATGTCAAAACACAGGATCAAGGCCATTGTGATATAAACGGATTTGAATGGACGTTCCACTTTTTAAATCTGTGTCCCACATGTGTAAAAACTCTGCTTCATTGTGCACCGTGTTGAGGTAATTATCAGACAATCTGGGTTTATCCTTTTTAGTGTCATTCTAAATTAATTTACGAAACATTTAACACTACATCCAACAACCCTACTAAAGTGTTAAATATCTAACAGTCGCTTTGAAGTTGCAAGTCAAAAACAGCGATTTGTTTGAGGATGTATTTTATATCTCAAAATTGTTCAGTCTCTGTGTATATTTAACACATGTTTGGTTGATATTATCAATTATCTCATTACCGAATGTTCAAAGGACATGAACAAAGAATGAAAGTCACCATTGCACAGTAGTTAATCTACATGTAATGTATGTTCAAAAGTACAAGTTTTCTTTAATTTCCTGCGTTTCGTTATTCTATTTTTTGTTGTTGTTTGTTCTTTTGTTTTAATGGTACTTAACATATAAATCAGTTACACTTAAATGTTGTATATTGTCTGTAGTATATATTATCTATATCTGTTTTAGATATAGATACATGATACAAGACACACCAGCAATATCACTGCCATTTTGTTCAAACCACTTATGGGATCTTTGAAATTGTCGTTCGGCCTGTGTTGGTCTCAGACGTTCGCGGTATGTGTTGCGCGTTTTACAATGTCTGCGCTTTGATATTTGTTTTGCCTTTCCATAAAGGATAAATTATTTATGTGAATTCAGGCATACCTTGCAGTTCAATAAGGACTTGCGACACAGCTAGAATACACTAAATACAGACATATCATATAACTAGGTAAATCTAAAAGAAATTACCAAAAGGAAATTTCGCAATAGTAATTTTTCCAGTTAAAGAATCAACGTAAAATATTCTATGTATGATATTGAAATCAGTTGTTAAAATGATATTGTTTCTATCAAAAATACTGCTTACCATTAACTATTTAGGTTTAGCCTTAGCCAATCACTCGGTCGTGTTCTTCAATGATGTTATTCTGTGTAACGTGTTTATTCGGGGTACACATACAGTGACTGTCGTTTGATCTACCTACAGTGAAGTATGTATACTTTCATACAATTACGTATGCATTTCATGGAAACCTTGCTGGGATGAATATGATGAATATTTAACACGTGTTCTTTCCTTTGCGTTCTTGAGATATACATACAAATGGGATCGGTAGATTCGTAAACATGTCCTAAATCAAATTATGTGATTCTGCAAACATCTTAAATATGTTGTCAAAAATCATAAAATGGCATCGGAGATATGGTTGAAAGTCGGAAACTACATCAAAAATCATAAAATGGCGTCGAAGATATGGCTGAAAATCGGAAAATACATTACAAAATCATAAAAGTTGTCAAAGACAAGGCTGAAATCGGAAACTGTATCTGTAAATGATAAAATGGACACAAACAGGGTATATGACACTACGTAAAAATTATATATTGTCTCAGTGAAACAAAAATGTATGAACATGTTAGCGTACATTTCATAATCAAACTCAGATAAATTTTTCCATACACACATACACTTTACTTGCTTAAAATGCATTTTCTGAGGTGAAACAATTGCACGTAAATGTCCCGTTAGTGATATATAACAAAACAAGACATAAATTAATGAAGAGATGCTGTATATACAACGCGAACAGCAGTTTTAATAATCTTTTGACAAGTGTTCCATCATTTCCCCCGGTTATAAGAAGCACCTTCAGACACATGCATATGATGTCAGCTCTATTCTGTACAAGACCCGTGGAATTTGGAAACACGTTAACACACTTCACAATCAGGTTTGGCAGAACATAAGGTACTACATCCTCAAAACATTAACCTTTACACGTTTGTAAAGTCAAATAATACCTTTCTCTTAATTTTCTAAAGAGAAAAACACGTGTTTAGTTTTAGTGATCCGTATGCAAATATTTGGGATTATAACAAGGCAATTATGCAGCGTTACTCAATATGAATACCGGTAAGAAAATGTTTTTGCGTTTTCGAAAGTACGATTGACAGCAAATAGATCCTCCCTACCAGAGACCTGATAACGTAATTTGCAACAAACTGATTGACCGTAATATTTACAATAACTATATATTCTGCAACAGTATAAACACTGTGATATATGCGTTTGTAAGCTCCATAATGCGGCACCAGCTCTGAGAGTCTAGCTGTTATTTAACTTTAATCCAATAGGCAGAAATAATCGTCAATAACCTGTGTTTTTAGGTAACAGAGCACAGTCACCCGAGCACATTTAGAATAACTGGATGACAACTTAATCGGTAACTTAGTTTTCCTGTTAAGAACATTATTTTTACAATTCTGTATCCTTCAGCTGACACAGCCTCTTGCGATATCTTTTACTAACAAGATTCTCACACAAGGCGCAGTTTGTTCCACATTAATTTGTTTATATAATGGTTCTAGTCTACATCAACATTTCACATAGATTTTTGTCAAGAAAGAAAGCAATCCCAGGCGATAAATCTTGAGATAACACCCGCTAGTCTGAATGCAAGGAGACCCAATAAGAAAATAAAACACGTTGAAAATCGTCCATGCAGCTGCATTAAGGGCTGTACACAATATCAAGTTGCTGTCCTGGCTCAGTCATCAATATGATAGGGCCGACTAGACAAACAAATTATATCCCTTGTTCAACCGTACACTCATATTCAAGCCATACACATTAAACACATTCCACAGAGTCCAAACCATGATCAAAGTAATCAAAGAGAGCAATTGAAAGAATATAAAAGCACAATAGAAATGTATGCCCGTTAATCTGGTACAGCGGATTAGTTGAATTAGATACGCTTCAATATGATGCATTCATCGAATAGTACACTGTTATATATTTCTTGATTGATAGATTATGACATGTACTGTATATTATTTATGAATAAATTAACTTACTTATCATGTGGTCGACGAAAACGAAATATCATCATGTGCGAATACCTCATATTAATGCAGCGTATTTTCAATTCCATCCCGTTGTTCATGACATCATTGTAAAATTGTAACATCCAACACATTTACCATTTCATGATTCTTTTTTCTCGACCAAAGACATTGTTGTCGTGTAAACAAGCCCTGGTTTCACATAAAAATGGCCTGATTCTAACTGTATATTTTGAAGTTACATTTGATTTGAATAACAAAAACGGAACGTAAATATTTTGTAAAATACCAGATTCTGTTCAACGCGGATGAGAAAGTGCAATAAGTTTTCCTACACATTTATTGTCAATACTGCATGCCTCTATCTACAGTTATCATGTTTTTTCTTTACTCTAAGATATATAACTTCAAGCAATATAAGATCGGCTATTTTCAAGTATTTAGCTTAAATTGAAGTATCAAGAAGTGGATCTTGTCAAAGTGGTTTTTTACAATCCTTGTTCATGATTAGGTGTAAATTTGCATAAAACTGAACTGAAAAAAATATACGCACATTGACATTTATACACTGGCAAAAGACGAATCTGACTGTGCCGAACGTACACTTAAAAATAGAAGGTATACTTATGTGGATCAGCGTTTAATCTGATACTCTCGGTGTTGCATTGTAGAAGTGATCTCTTAAAAACGACACGATGGTGTACTATTTACAAATGACGATGACACATTCAACCATAACGTACTATTGGCATACATCAAAACGATAGAAGAACAGTGGAATATTTTAACAAAACATACTTACATGTATCCTTACCTCGTACAAAACTTTACATCCGCTGTTTATTGGGATTATGTCAGTCGTGCTTGATTCAACCACAACTGACGGATATAACAGTCAAACGATGCTTTCACGTATGACGTCACACTTACATACAGGACAGCATTTTCGCTGACGTCACAACTATATTATTTTTTAGATTTGTGTACATAAACTTCAACTCATTAAACAAATCGACAGTTTACTCATTTATAGCCAGTTTTCAGTCTCGCCACTTGTGCTAACCATGCATATCTGTGATTCTGACGTCATTGTTATATTATGGACACCTCTACCGAGGTAGGCGAAGCATGTTTATGTGTACAAGAAAAAACATCACACAGGATTAATTTTCTATACCAATTTAAAAAAGAAAATCTAAAATGTTTTGTTTTATCAGACATGTCAGCGGGTTTTTCATCATAAGTACCCACCCCCATTCTAGATCGTTTTATTTCTTATAACAAAACGTGTTTAACATATCACCCAATAAAATAGTTTGTTATATTATAATAATATATATATTACAATATTATCTTAATGTTGTGGCTAATGCGAATAATTCAAGTTACTTTTATATCTATTTTTCAACCAATGGGTTATTCGATACAGCTTTGCATCTTCTTCTGGTACATATTCTTTCGTACATAAACCTATTTTTTTATTATTCATCATACGATTATAATATTTTCATTAATCGATAATAGCTTACGTTTTACCACTGAACCTCATTTACAATAACCAACAATGTTTTGCTGTAGCCACTATGGACAGATTACTGATGTTACAAGGATACACATATATTTCAATTCGTTATTCTTTGTATGCAATGCGCTTTAATTAGTGTTAGTGAAGTAATGCACACAAAGAGCAGTTACGGCATCAATCACACCGGCGGTTTTCGCATGGGTTCGACCACTAGTATCATTATTGAGGAGATTAAGGAAGCGAATAAGAACACCCAGAATAGTATCCTGTCCATTACTAACGCCACAAACCGCCATTCGTTTACTATATCTTGGTGATGATCATCAAAGTCTTGTTTTTCTACTAAAACTTTCAGATGTTTAGTAATCCTTCTATGTGTGCTATCCCTTTCGACGTCTATGATTTTATCGTGATATTTCAAAGTATTTTGAGGAAGATTTCCGTTGCAATTATTTCCGTCAACGTTCTCAAAGAACGTTGTGAGGCACATATCATCTTTTCGAAAGTCCTTGCTGTAGGATGCAGGAATCTGCGAAGTTCGCATACACATGATGCGCGCAAGGATTTCTACGCAGAGAAACCTCAGCCATCTTGGAACGGGTCGTTGATGTGGTCCTACATGGTGTAGTTGAAGGACGAATACCACTAGAATTATTGATAAAGATGTCATCCCCATGGTTACGGTCAGGTATATACCTAAAACAGACAATGAAAAGATTGTATTTTATTTTTATGTTGTGTACGATATAAATATGCAACATTCCAAACGTTTGTGTATGGAACAAATTAATTCATTATTGGAAACTACTGTATATAAAAGAAAATAACATGTCACAACAATCATGATTGTGATTCACATTCAATAAAACGAGGACAAAATATGAAGAAAAGAAAGAGATACACCAAGACTCCCAAAAAAGTGCATCGGGTAAGAGAGTTCTGCTTCATCGAAACACCCGCTATGTAAATATTTGTAAATCCAAGTAAGTGATTTAGCGTTCACAAATAAGAACAACGTATACAACAACAGAACCAACAGGCACACTAACGAGCATCAAACCCGCCCAGCTCCTAATTACGAAAAGAAATTTATTTCTCTGTTTTTTGATCATTTTTTATCTTTGGAAACCTTGTATTACGAGTTTTAATATCTTATTCTAAACTAATATAAAGTTATATTCATCTGTCTGTAGTACAATCTATGGAGAGTGCGAACACGGGTAATGTGAAAAAAATTCATGCTATTCTATACTTCCAAATAGGACAAGATGGTACATTTCTTTTTAATTAAGTAAACATATATGAGAAAATAGAAAGAAACGGGATTGCTTGTGTCTGGATGGCGAGGTGTAAAGATTTAATTCACTAGAAGCATTAATCTGAAACAAAACATTTTAAAGTTTGGTTAAAGAAATGCCACCGCAGAAAATCTTTTAGCAAAACGAATAATTTACATAGATTTCAATGTGTCACTACGCGATTCAAAATGGGGTCTCTCTTATCGACAGAAATGATCATGTGCGTTATAATGAGTGTTATTATGCGCGTGTAGGACCTGTCTTGCTTGTGTATCTGACAGTTGATGAGAAACGCAATTCATCTCCTTGACAGGATCCAACAAGCCTCCCACCGTGGGCTATGACAGGCTTATCTGCAGAACACTGCTCACGTCTTCTTTTCTCATAAAAATCTACTTATTGTCATTTAAAGATGCATATGAATGTAAAAAACCAACAGCATTCCTGTTACAGGCGAGGATTGCAGTGGATATTTTTAGAAAGTTTTCTTCGCATGTTATTGTTAGCTATCGATAGAAATGATATATTGTCTTCAACCATTGTCTTCATTTGTTTATTTTAAACGTGTTCTCGGTTACGTGTCTGTGCGCTTAAAAGTTTAATTCTGCGATGGTCGTCTCCCTTGGATCTTCCTTACAAAACATTGTATCCGTCTGTACTCCTCCTTAATCCCTTTGAATGTAGCTGCTACCAAATCCATGACTTTATCAAGTTAATTGGTGCCATCATCATCAATCATTCGTACCATTTCTAACGAGGATTTGTTGAAAACCTTTTATACCATACCTTTACTTGTTTAACACTATGTTGCAATTAAAAGTTCTACTGCTTTTTCCACTCTTTATTATATTCAAGTACAGCCAGGAAGTAAGCAATATGTTGTACACGTTTAAAAGTACACTGTTCCTGAAATGTTCCTTAATTGTGATTGATATTAGTAAATTGCTAAAATTTTTGTTCGAAGCAGCACTTTTCATGTCACAAGTACAATGCTTTGGTTTTCTAAACCTGGCCCGTTTTCATTCATTGCTGATATATGTCTGTTTATATATATCCTTTTCCAATCGTTCGTTCGCGTTTAAACTGTATTTATTTAATATCACTGATCCATCAGTTGTTACAGTCATTTCTCTAGCTCCGTTGATTTCTAACAGCTTTGTTAGACATGGGAGAGCTTCGTTAGTTCAGTATATATTAATGGTCTATATAAGGACATTACATAAGTACAGCATCATTAGTACAGTACATTTTGTAAGTACGTAAATACAGATAGATTGAACTTCTGCTGCCAGTTCAGTCATGCGAAAATACAATACATCAATACACTGGTGTTGCCAGTTCAGCAGAGTGTAAGCACAGTAGAACAATTAATCGGTGTTGTCAGTTCAGCAGTCTAAAAGCACAGTACAATAATGTACTGATGCCATCAGTTCAGCCTGCGAAAGTACATTACATAAATACACTGGTGTTGTCAGTTAAGTAGTCGGAAAGGACAGTACAATAATGTACTGATGTTGTCAGTTCAGCCATGTTTTTGTCTTCTGTTCAGTAGTATTAAGTACCGGTCATCAATATACTTGTTACGTCATTCTAGTCCTTTGAATAGACAACAGTACACTGGTGTCGTCAGGTCTCTGGTGGTAAGTACATGACAACAATACACTGGTATCGCCAGTTCTATGGTGCTAAGTACATGGCAACAATACATTGGTGTCGTAAGGTCTACGGTGGTAAGTACATGACAACAATACACTGGTGTCGTCAGTTCTATGGTGGTAAGTACATGACAACAATACACTACCGTCGTCAGTTCTATGGTGGTAAGTACATGACAACAATACACTGCCGTCGTCAGTTCTATGGTGCTAAGTACATGACAACAATACATTGGTGTCGCCAGTTCTACGGTGCTAAGTACATGACAACAATACACTGGTGTCGTCGGTTCTACGGTAGTATACGCTTGACAACAATACATTGGTGGCGCCAGTTCTACGGTAGTAGGTACATGACAACAATACATTGGTGTCGTCAGTTCTATGGTGCTAAATACAAGACAACAAAACACTGGTGTCGTCAATTCAACGCTAGTACAAATGTAGTACAGGGCATCTTGACATTGGTGTCGTGAGTTCAATAGTGGTAAGTACAGGACCAAATTACACTGGTGTAAATCAATACACTGGTGTCGTCAGTTCAACAGTGGTAAGTAGATACTTAATGTAGTACAGTGCTTTAAACGTCGTAAGCTAACTTCGCTCGTATCGTCTTCTTTGTATCACTATTAGTTCATCGTTAATATGGTGCATTACACGTGTACACTGTGATATCAAACGTAAGCATTGCTAGTCAACATTTAATAGGACATACATATATTTGTATACTTAATACACCTGGCATTCTTAATGAAGCGTTATTAATACAACAAGATGCATATGGCGAATTTTGATTATACCATTCTGTTTTCTCGTTATTACCTCAGCTCTTATGTCCTTAATTCATTAATGGCGCGTTATTTCTTATTTCAATCAACTTGGTTTCTTGTTAATCATATTCATCCTCCTTTATTTATTTCCTATAATGGAATAGCTTATAACAGTCAGGGTTAAGGGTTACATCCACCATCCCCCCATATACCATATCACTGCTGTCTACAAAGATTTCTGTCCTCTGTCGTCAATCATCTATCATCACTTACCTACCATATCATCGCTGTCTACGAAGGATTTTGTCCTCTACCATCAATCTTCTAATGTCACATACCTACCGTAGAACCACTATCATCTGTTAGTTTCTGTCCTCTACCATACTATTCAGGTAGGTGATATTCTGGGTTTAATTTTTTTTAATTTCAACTTTATAATATCACAGAGCAGCGCATTCACTTCAGTCTTATGCTCTTAATATACAGAGATAATTAATTGTTGATACCTGTGCCCCTCATCAAGGATTGATTATTAACGGCCTGGATCAAAAGGGATCCCTTTAATGTCTTTTTAAAAAGCTTCTGATACCTTATGACGCACAGATGACGTCAGTTTAGGTGTGTTGGTAGAGTGCACAAGATGGTTTAACAGTACAGAATATTGGACGGATTTCGGTAATGGGCGTTGCAATTAAAACTCATCTCAACTCCGTTGGGGAGTAAACAGATAAGAGAAAATTTGCGTGTGAATACATTTATAAAGTGTTATCAAAATCACAGCGACTTTGATTCTGACAGCGTGTTAAGTCCAACAAATCGACTTCAATCTTTTGTTAATGCAGGGAAACAGCTGGTCAAGACACACTTTTATGTTGGGCCTTCACGCACAGCACTTTATAAAAGATACATTTTTGCCTTCTTGTGGATCAGATCATGTTTTGATCTTATTCACTTGAAAGATATTTTATACCATGTTTCTTGTTTTTATGTATATGCTTTGTTTTTTACTTATATTTCATACTTTCTTATGTTATAGTCAAAAATTATTTGACCCGAGTTGCTGGCTCTGCATCACTTGTTTCAATGGTCATCTACAAACATCTACCAACACCGAAAGTAAAAACGTTTTGAAAATATCACGCTCACTATTAGTGACGTTATAAAGGTAGTCTGGTGAAAATAAATGTCGATCTTAAGCGGTTGTCTGTTGTAGACTGTATAGTCAATCTGTCGTCTGGCTGGCTGTGAGTTTGAAATGGGAATCTGTTTGGCTTTACTCAAGAAGATTTAAAACATAATTCAGCACAGCATGACAAAAGCACTTAAGTAACATTTGACTGATTGTGAATGATTGATTTGACACGCTAGTTATGATTTCAGGAACTTTTAATGGTATAATTTTCAGTATATCTAAATAGTATCTAATTGCCACTAAAACTCTAACCACAACAATAACTGATAAAATTACATGCAGCATCACGGTAAAGACGCTCTGAAAGAAAGAGCTAATTTTGATTGATGTTTGATAATCTATGAAATTAACAAACAATTTCCATCAAACTTTAATAATATTTTACATGAGTTTAGCACAGTGCAACTTTTGTGTTCGTAAAAGAGGAAAAAATCCTGATGTGATATTATCAATTTTACTTGTCTTCTAATTCCCCATTGCCTATTGGAGGATATGAACAAAACTAGTCTCTCTGATGTGTAAGTTCAAAGCGAGCCTTTGTTATCATTGATAAATACAGCATAATAGATTCAATCAATTAAACTCAACTTACAAGTATACACGCATGCGCGAGGTAATTGCTATGAACATCGCTCTTTTGTAGGTTCAGCATTTAGTCAACCATGCAAATAAATAACATTTTACTGCATTGTTGTTCTTTTCTCAAGAGATCTTACAACAAAACATTATCCTGTACGTTACAACAGTCTAACCAATAACGATTTAAGCCAAGACTGTATGGGAACTCTAGAAGAACCATTTGATATCCGTAAGAACAATATCTGCGTCGTGAGAAAATTTGAAACTGCTGCTAATGACCTTTGTAATTTGGCTTGCATGCGATATAAACTGATTTATGATGAGCCACACGAAACTCCACGGCCGTGGCATTTTGTAAATGTCACGAGCTTGACGGCAAGTCTGTATTTGTCATTAATATCAACAATAACGGACAGTACGAACAGTTGAAATCGCCGAATACTTTGTAAAAGTACCTGGATCGCCTAATTTAACGTCTTAATTTCGAAGTTGTAAATGACACAACTGTGCTTAGAGATTGTACAAAAAACACATTATATAATAGCACCTTTTAATACAAATTAAGACTTAAATAGAGTAAAACCTAAATATAATCAAACTGCATTACACAACTGTTTCGTTCAACTGTGACTCATCAATGATGTTGGGGACATAAATGTTAAACCTATGAAGCAACTTAGGAAAACCAAACCTGATCGAAAGGTATTCCACAATCTGGACATGGAGGTACACTTAGGTAGCAGTACACAGTTTCTCGGTGTGGCCATGGGTGATTTTTTTGCTCATTAGATTACCCCATTATAAAGGTTTTAATTAAAAATGAAAAAAAAAATCCTTGCTAAAATTGGTCCTGTCATGTTAAAGTGGACAATGTGGGGTTTCATTTTTTTCAGGATAATATTTTAGCTTTGTGTTGGAGATTACTATTTGGGCAGTCTCGAATCTGTGTCTACGCACCAAAAACTAGCTTTACAGGAAGTGAAATTTTCATAGTGTTTACATGTGGTCATGTTATGAAGAATTTCCGAGTTGGAATTTGCTGAAATGTAAGTACTTTGTTACCACGACAGTGTTGTTGATTGTAAGATAGGTGATTAGAATTAAATTTCTCCTAGAAAGTTGTAGTGTTGGATTGGAATTAGCAGTATTTTTGCATTTTTAGCATTTTTTCAGTAGGTAACCATGACAATCAAATGTCAGAAATCAGAGGAATTTTTTTTTTTACACAAATTTCATCTCTCTACTGTTAATGTAATTGTTATACAGTTTATAAATATATATACATGTAATGATGTATTTTTCATAACCAATCTGCTATACCTGTATATCTCAAACATGACAAATAATTTCAGGAAAAATGCAAATTAACTGTTTACTGCTACCTTATAGCACATTAAAAAAAATTAATCTATTTAAAATGTGTTTTACTATGTTTAATTAAGTTTAATCCTTTCCATAATTGCTATAAATACATAAAAAACACACTGAAACTTGTTCATAATGATTTTATTTTAATTTCATCAGGGGTGCATAAAGGGAGGTAATTTGGGTGCTCTTGTGGGTGAGAATTTCAGCTGTTTTCAAAAGGCTTGGTATCAGTTTGAAAACTGTTCTACAGTAGGTAACAGGTATGAAATAAGTCAGTAACAACCTTAGAATGTATTTAGACTGCATTATAGGGCAATTCCAATAGTTTAAGGTGTGGTATCCATAGTAACTAAGAAGGAAAGTATGAGTTTTTGAATTTTGGATAAATTCTCTGTTTTGATGATTTTTACTCAATAATGTGTGTGTATTTCTCATAGATTGGGCATACAATCATGTCAATATTGTCATAAAATTACATTTCCATAGTTACTGCTGTAAAAAAGACTATTTTGCGAACAATATTGCAATGTAATAGGGTTTCTAATATTACACTTGAAGAAGGGTGGGGGGCAGTAAGCATAGGTGTTTGTGATGTCATACACATGACATTTAAGAATATCTTATGTCATATCACTGTTAATTACTTTCGAGAAATGTGTCAGATGCTAATTTGAAGTTTTTGTTGGATTTCTAGCCTTCACTATGACATCACAGTGCATTGGTGAAGCCATCATTAGCAATTGATGACGTCATAGTACTGATGACATCAGCTGTTACCATGACGTCATAACATAAGACTTTATATATGTAGTATCAATCTGCTTTTCAGTTATCTAAATTCACAGAAGCACAAACTACTTGATTCAGTTTCAATTGCAACTTTATTCAAGTAAATTTAAGACTTATTGAGGTTTTAATTTTTCAAATTACCTCCCTTTCTTCCTAATTTGAGAGCAGAATTGGTCAAAACACACCATGCGGGAAAATCCATATTACTCGATAGCTATTCAAGATACACAGTAAAGCGATATATTGTTTTGTTCGTGTGATCATTTTCTAGACACTCAGAGGGATTTTAATGAAATTAAAAAAACTAATTGTGATGTATAAGGTAGCAGTACACAGTTTCTCGGTGTGGCCATGGGTGATTTTTTTGCTCATTAGATTACCCCATTATAAAGGTTTTAATTAAAAATGAAAAAAAAAATCCTTGCTAAAATTGGTCCTGTCATGTTAAAGTGGACAATGTGGGGTTTCATTTTTTTCAGGATAATATTTTAGCTTTGTGTTGGAGATTACTATTTGGGCAGTCTCGAATCTGTGTCTACGCACCAAAAACTAGCTTTACAGGAAGTGAAATTTTCATAGTGTTTACATGTGGTCATGTTATGAAGAATTTCCGAGTTGGAATTTGCTGAAATGTAAGTACTTTGTTACCACGACAGTGTTGTTGATTGTAAGATAGGTGATTAGAATTAAATTTCTCCTAGAAAGTTGTAGTGTTGGATTGGAATTAGCAGTATTTTTGCATTTTTAGCATTTTTTCAGTAGGTAACCATGACAATCAAATGTCAGAAATCAGAGGAATTTTTTTTTTTACACAAATTTCATCTCTCTACTGTTAATGTAATTGTTATACAGTTTATAAATATATATACATGTAATGATGTATTTTTCATAACCAATCTGCTATACCTGTATATCTCAAACATGACAAATAATTTCAGGAAAAATGCAAATTAACTGTTTACTGCTACCTTATCCACCAATTCATTAAACTTCGAAATGTTCATATATCTGTTTCAGAAGAACGTAAGTATATCCGTGAAAATGATCAACCGTGCCAAATTTTGAATTAATATAAAAGGATGCATGCAGAATGCATCCTCGACATAAATCTTTTCTTTGTCTTTTGTGGTCTAACTAAAGACAAGTTCAAACTTATATAGAACACGTACATGTATATCTTTCACTAACAAACGACAGTCGTGAACTATTCCAGTGCACCTCTTCCTATTTGCTTTTGAATATTTTTTCGATTAATATGGATTTTAATGTTTCGTTTGTTCATTCTCAGGATTTGCTTAACTTGATTACTAATTCGTAATGCAAAATCTTTTTTCACTTTTGTACAAATCTTTGAAATTGCAGGGAGTAGACACTGCTGTAGGGTAATATTCCAGATACACAATTTAATCCGGACGCCAGGTGATAATTCATTCAGACTGTGGCATGTTTTTAAATGTAGACGTATATGGTTTTCTGCAATTTTGAAAAAAAAAGATTGAATTTCGGGTTAAGTGCACGACGTCTCTGGATTTTGACATTTCGACCATTCTTTGTTTCAAATATCTAGGTCTAGCATGGCTGACGAGACCTAGGTGGGATAAATCAGTTGTATGAGGCAATTATTTTCCCTCTATTTGATTCCATTGTTATGAAATATGCTATTCGCTTGTGCCTTATTTTACAATAAAAAAACACTATGGGAAAGTTCGCAATACAATTTGAAATGATACTCACTTTTGTTGTAATCGTGAAAACCATTTCTTGCTGATAGTGTTTTTTTTTCAGTTCAGTGATAACTTCGTTTCCAACGGGATTGCGACATACTCGCGTATACAAGAACATGGCATTGAATGCAAGCATATGCGCCTTTTCCAGTCGATTAGGTTTTGTTTTCACATGCGGCTTAACTCATGCAAAAATTTACAATCATACTGGAAGCACTTGAATGTCCTCTAGATCCAGTTCATTGAATGTTCTATGATCCATTAAGGTTATCGATAATTACTAGTATAATAGATTTAGTAATGGATAATGAGGTAATGTCAATTACTGCTAGATAAAATGCACGTCGTTCTCTAAAGCTTTATATTCATGTAACAGACAATACAATTCTTGATATTATTACGATGAAAGCATATCAAGAATACGATTGCTTTTATGATAAAAATCATTTACTTACCTATAAGTGGTACAAACTCCGATGTAGCTGGCATATTTTCTGCTATCAGAAGCATAAACACAGAAAAAGCCAGTAACACTGTTATTCCAAGCGTAATCTTTTCTCCGGAATCAGGAGGAAGCCAGAATCCCAATAAACTCAATATGGTCAACCATAAGCATGGAAATATAATATTGAACAAATAATACAGAGTTCTTCTGCGCATTATTACCGTAAACGTCACATCCGGGAAAGGTTCTATACAACAAGGGTAATAAACTTCGTTTCTAACTACCCTGATATCGAGGAGTTCCCATTCACCACTGTATACATAGTTTGAGAGATCAACTGCTGCTGATCTGTTTGTGAGGTCAACTTGAAATCCATCATACGTCCACGACCCAAATTTCATCTTACAGGTTTGATCATCAAATGGAAAATATGTGATGTCTATTTTGCACGAGCTTCGGAATTTCGCTGGAGGTGGCCAGAACACTGTTCCATTGCAGTTGACCATGGCTTTGCTTTGCATGTATCCGGAAGTGAAGTCGTCAGCGCTATAATAAATAAAATATCTATAATACTAACTTGTAACTGGAGTATGCGAAGTTTTCCAATAAAACCGATCGAATATGAATATCCACATGTTACTATAAATCATTTCTCTCCTCTATATAAAAACTAGAATGCAATGGATCACGTAAAACAATGAGGGTGAAAACGTTCTTTATACAATTAAGCCCCTAGCTCAAACTAACGGAAGGCGCACTCATTTCCATGATAGTGGTGATTCCCTCAAGCCTCAAAAGTTGTGTAATCGGCGCCTATTCTTGACAAAGCAGATATTGTTCTCTGATTTTAAACATTTTCCCTTGATTTAATGACAACTATTAAACTCAGATTATAGAATTTATCCCGAGAGACTAGGAGTCCTTGTATCAGAGATTCCAAGGAATTAAATCTGAACTTTATATCATTTCTAAAAACACTAACATGTCAACAGAATCTGAATTCAAATTGCATAAAACTAGGTCAAAATATCAAAAAAGGAAAGGTTTTAAAAACACCAGAAAAAGTACAGGGGGAGAGGGGGTTATTATCAGGTGTTGCGGGAAGGTAAATAAGCGTCAGGAGCAAGGATATCTGTTTTACGGATATTATGATAACTTTCCTGTTATACTGGACGAGAGAAATCTGTCTACAGGTGAAGGCATAATAATTGTACTTGTCGTCGTTGCATGATCGTCTAATAAAAATCTAATCAATTCTTTTTCCTTCTGAACAATGTCTCACGTTTGACATTTATTTGTTGAGATTTCGTCCCTGAAAGGAAGGCTTTCGGTTCTGACCCCTGGCCGAAACGTACCATAGATTATTACAACGGTAGTAACTGATCCTTGTTTAACGTTCATTAGTGTTGTAATGTAAAGCCTGGATCACCCATTGTCAATAAAACGAGACTGTTCTGGGTATTACGCCCACGTTCGTAACCCTATCTCATGTCTTCATCTTCGCCCACTATTGTCATTTGCGTTTGGGTTACAGTAGTGGGTGACGATGTCGATATATTTTCAACACCGACCATTATTGTAACAGACGCATAGGAAAATGATATGTTAAGTTTGTTTATATGACCATAACGATTTCGAGAAAAGCATTATAAACAAAACAAATGAAGTTTGATTAATGTTATTACGCACCTGTTATACAGGACGATGTCAGGAAGCCATATCTTTTCGCATGGTATACGTAACACAACCAAACCGTTGTAGTCTCTTGGGTCCCACTTTAAACGCTCATCTGTCCATTCCTTTAAAAACAACAAGCATTGTAAAGTATAACTCAGAGTAACAATATGATTAATTGTGAGATATGCTTTTATACACAGAAAAGTGAAAAGAAAACAAAACCAGATGGGTAAGCAACAACTCCCCTGCTTTTGTTTTGAAGAAATGTAACCTTATGAGAACAAGATAGTCAAAATAAATCTAACTGGCATGCTAAACCTTAAACAGGGTGGGTTTTTTTTTATCGAAATAGGAGAAAGAATGTATTATTTTCAAATGAGATCATGGTAGTGGTGTTAAAGCTTACCCGTAGTTTTCTCAATATTATTTTCTCTTATACATTCGATGTTACATAAATATATTTTCTCTGGAACCACCGAAACAAATAAGTGATCAGTATTGGCCATTGGAAAATTTCTGTGTTATTCTTAGCAAAAACCCTGAAGAATCTTGTATTAACTATATAAATATTAACTATTCCTTTTTTTAACATTTGTTGTATCAAACTTTCTCTTGTAACAAAGAGTGTGCAAAAGAAACTCTATAAAATTGCACATTTAAGTACAGATCTGTAGTTGGTTGAGTATAGTCAAATAAAAACATCTGACATATATTTTGTCTATCTAGGACTCGCCATTGATACTAAATGCATGAGAGGTTGAAACATCATGATTGTGTGTGTGTATTTATGTGTGTTTGTCTGTGTGGTGATATGTGTATTGGGTGTGTGTGTGTGTGTGTGTGTGTGTGTGTGTGTGTGTAGTGGTGTGTGTGGGTGGCAGTGTGTTTGTGTATGTACCAGCATGCATTCATTGTCTTAGTCGCAACTTCGCACCAGCATTTCTTATATTATATCGTCCTTTGGGCAAAACGTTTAATGGTTCGGTTGCTCTGTAACGTTCCAAATAATAGTGTTTAAGTGTACAAATGACTCCACAGTGTGTAATCTTGGTTTATTTAAATACCTGTTAATTTTAATCATTCTCAAATATCAACATGCATGCAGTGTTTCAAGCATTCTATTCAAAACATAACGCAGTGCTCGCAGTTATCACATTTATGAATGAGGATCATTCGTCTGATTTTTGTGTTTTACAACCATTCACTTGTTGATCAATGCCCTTCATCTTGTTAATCGTGTTGGAAAACAGCATGAATGATCTGCATGATTGTATTTTATCATCAATAATTATCACCATGACGCTTGTTGTGACAACATCTGATATTAAAATTATGTTGAATCAGACTTCATGACCTTACTGATCCTATGTCTGTTTAATATTTCCGTCAGAGCAGCAGAAGTAATTAAACTTCGATTTTTATCATATTTTTAACTGTCTAATACATCACCCTTCAACTGTTTCATTCCAATTATACGTGTAATACTGAAAAATGATATCCGTTTCACATGTGTACGTACTCTTTACTTGAATACATATATCATGTAGATGAATGAACGAAATAGCCTGCCTTAAAGGAAGGTTTCACTTTGACATCATAAAACTAAATATTGTACTTACAGAACAAGAATATACTTGTATATATAAATGTCTCATTTAACATCATCTCACAGTTTGAAACGTAAACTTGAAAACTTTACTTTAAGAAATGATTATTGGCAAATGTGTTTTTGGATGTCATCGCCTTTCATTAATTCTACCAAATGCCATTTTAGCTTGATCATCATGTCCTTAGACTAATTGATGCAAACTTCCGTGTTTGGCAGTCAGAATGTGAGATGCTCAAGATCGAAACGTGGAATTGAAACAGCATATTAAAACAAGCTTTTCACTTGAATGTGACTGTCCCCCAAAAAATGGATATGAAAAGCAGCAGTCCTTAAAATAATACGCTCCTGTTCCATTATAATATTTTATTTGTATGAATAAATAATGAGGTAGGTTTGAGGTCTGTGATAGATAAATGTAATACTCGATTACTTGTGTAATGACTGTGTCGACGATTGACCAATTTGATTTTCCGATATTGGAGAGTACCATGTTAAAAAAGGTGAAAAAAAGCCTAATGCATATCGATCTGGAGAAAAGGTTGTTTAGAGATAAAGCTCTGCTGTATCCACTGTTCTCTCAATTAATTCATTCAGAAATCTCATTGGATGCTAGAGGGAATAGAATGATACAATTTTCTGAATTGGTTTGTTATCCTGCAAATCCACGTGGTGACTTTTGTGTCAAAATTAGCAACATCGATTTGCCTAGATTTCAACTCCATAAATGGCTTGTGTGTCTAGGGATCGAGAAGCCTCAATACAAATAACGATTTCTTATTTCGAGATGTCTGATGACATTGCCCAGTTTGGTTGGTATTTAAACAACAAATGTATCTGAGAGTCTAAATAACAGAAGATGTTATTAATAACAAGAACTGTTTATTACATTTGTAATAGTTTGAAAAAAAACAAACTAGTGCAAAATATAGACAAAAGACTGATTCATCTGGAGAATCATGAAAATGTTAACGGAGAATAAGACCAGGTGTTCCGGAAGAATAAGTGTGTTCTGCTTAATCGACGACACCCGCCATGTAATCCTTAGTCAATTCAAAACATTAATGTCACGTTCTCACATGAGAACAACGTATACACCAACGGAACCAACAGGCAAACTAATAAGATTCAAACACGTCCAGCTTCATTTCGTGCAAAGATATAGAAGATATTCCAATTGCCATACACTATTTACACGTTTCAATGGATCCCTCCAATGGACTTTTCTCTTTCTAAAATTGCCAAGAAAACAAAATAAACAATTATACCTGATATGTTTGCATATTTCTCCTTGGATCGCGGAATAAAGTTAATCCACCATTGATCGATGATATCAACAAATCAAAGTTATTTCGGAATTATGTTGAGGTAATGTTTCTTTGCGGCGTTGTATCAATCCAAGTCATTATGTTTTTCGGTATTCAAGGATCGTACGAAATGTTTGTTTGCGGATGGCACAAAATGCAGTAGTTCTTACTCTCAAAGTAAATTTCGACTTTCCTTCATACACTTTGGGCACCAGCAAACATCTGTGTATATATAACGCAGTTTATAAGATTATAATCAGGCTATGCAAATATACGTGTTAAGGTTTGAACGCATATACCTTTCAAACATGTTTGGTGAACACTTGAACATTTGATTGTTAATTAAGTATTTTCTATATACTGATCATAGTGCTCTAAAACAACAGTGAATTGAGTCGGTAGAATTGCAAGTGGAAATCGTATCGAGATACATTCTCAATGTGCACTCTAATCAAATACAAGCAGTCAGACAGAATGGCAATATCTCTACCCAATTTGGTCCATTATTGAATGAGGAAGTCAGGTTATAAAGACGCTTCTACCGGCGTCACCCTCGTCTCATTCATACACTGTAAGATTTTGGTTTAGATCTCAAAGGAGGCATTATCAGAGTCGTGAGCGTAGATATTACAACAGTCCAACCGCATTCAATGCTTGGTCTAAACTATGTATAAACTCTCTACGTATTGGAAACATTTAAGTTTATATCCGCCCTGTCCTAACTCGATTCTAACAGTTATCACAAAAAGATCTGTTCGTGGTGATATTTCAATAAACACTCAAGGAAACTATATTTTCTTTTTGCATTGTAAATGCAATCGTTAAGATGCGCCACAATGTGTTTTATTTTTCAAACGCTGAATCAAGGCACATCAGTCTTGAGCCTCAGATCCATCATTTGCAGTCTTAACGACACGAGCTTTCCAATAAGAGTCTTAAGTATTCAAGGACTAGCACTACCAGATGAAAGTTGAATGTCAAGCTATTAATGGTGATCTTCAGGTAAAACGCGGAGTTGCTAAATAAGATCAGATACCTAAATAGTTGATTATTCAATCCCGTGTTGATAAGAAGTATAGCTGCTTAGAACCTTAAAAATAGAAACAAACCCTGCTATACTCGACAAAGGAAGCACGCATTTACGATAGATCTTTGCAACAAACTACGACTGTCTACTCTGAAGTGACTCTCAGCCATGTTGTTCCTATTAACCAGGTCATGACATCATTAGATTCATGTTAAAATGTGATTATTGAAAAACAAATTGTATATATCACGACAAAATATAGAGCTTTTAAAGTCCATATCGATTAAAACTTAAATCTTCTCTGATACTGGTACTATATGTTTATATAAGGCAACAGGAAGAGTATTCCTATATTGCTTCAGAGACGAAAAAACAAGAACAAAAAACAAGAGCAAAAAACAAAAACAAAAAAACAAAAAAACAAAAACAATAACAAAAACAAGAGCAAATAACTGTAAGCCTAATCCAAGTGATATTACTTTTTTAACTATCTTTAACAAAAATATGATCTTTTAAAGAAATTACTTTGATTTGTTTTCATCATTTTTACATTTCCTGAAGTCTGGTATTGCTTATGTAAACGGAAAAATCGCATCGTTCCCTCTAGTCAATTATCTAAATTCTGACATATTTAAAAAATATATTATACATATATATCGAAGATTTAAAAATAACATTTCTGCAATGATTCATCAAACATATACAAATCTAAAGGACAGCATCGACAACGCATGGATGGTCTTGGTTCAGCAGTGAACCGCGGAGAGAACAAATGTCTGCATCAACATTTCATCTCTCGGACCATGTCATACTGTCGATGAGTGTCCTTAATTTGGAAAACATTTACCATCTTGTAAATTATCCCACGCTGAGCACACCCTTCCGTAGACAATGTGAGGAACACTATATTGACTACTCGGCATTGCTGCGCCATATGGATGCAATGACCGCGCGGACTCTCCAGGAAGTTTGTCCAGTCCTGGATGCAGTAACATTAACGTTATGGATGTATTCACTCCCCAAACTAGACGTAATCGTAGCCACAGACATGGGCTTTATAATAAATCTAGCGAATATACGTTTACGTTTGAAAATCTAATGGATACTTCACAGACACCACATCATGTTCGAGCTACGTGATATTCAAGCGGATTCCAATTGATGAATGTTGTGATTGTAAAT